CACAGAGCTGTTCTCCCGGAGGGTGACGGCGTGCCTCACTAACCATTTTCTGCCCTGGACGGGACGTAGGACTTGAGTGGACTTGCTCCAGAGTAGTATTTTTTTTTTTTTCCGGAGCAGGCGAAGCATAGATGCAGGGAACTTGTCCTTGAGCTGGGTGCTTCCCAGGAGCCTGGAGTAGAGCCTATGGGGAGGCAGTGATAGTCGGGAGGCCAGCAATCTCCGTCAAGGTTTTCCTTACACCCGAGAGAGTCTGTGGCACTTCCATTTGGTGTGTTTCTGAGCCCTGAGGGTGCGTGTAGCAGTGGCATAGGGCTTATGCATTGGGCTGCTAACCACATGGTCAGCAGTTTGAATTCACCAGCCACTTTGTGAGAGGAAATGAAGCTTTCTAGTCCCATAAAGAGTTAGAGTCTCAGAAACCCACAGGGGCAGCTCGCCCCTTTCCTATAGAGTTGCTAGAGTGCTAGAGCCAGATTGAACTCAATATCAGTGAGTTTGGCTCTTCCTTTTGGGTGGGGGTGGGGGAAGAGGTAGTTCTCTCACTGGTGTTTTTCTTCTACCTGGGAGCATTTAGACCAGTGGTTCTCAAGGTGTGGTTACTGGACCACCAGCAGCAGTCTCGTCTGAGAATGTATTCTTGTTGGGAGCCAGCAAGTCCTTTCTGAGTCATAGAGACCCTATATGTTCAACAGAGTGAAACACCGGTCCTCCGATCTTTACTCGGTTTGAACCCATTGTTCCACCACTGTTCGAACTATCCTGTCAAGGGGCTTCTTCTATTTTGCTGGCCTTCTACACTGCCAACCAGGATGCCTGATAACATTTCCAAATACGAGAGGCGACGTCTCATCATCCTTGCTACTAAGACTATGCTTCTCCCATGACAGTTTTAATCATTCTTCTGACGCGCCACAGTATACGCAATGGTTTTTGAGAATACCATGGTTCATCACTGCTTGGCCTTTTGGCTAAGATCACGTGAGAATTCCATGATTCAAAGGCATCAATTCTTCAATTTTCTTTATTCATTGTCTAACATTTTGCATGTGTACCAGGTGATGGAAACACTACACTCAGTACACTCTGAAAGGTATATTCAGATCAGGTGTACCTTTGTTCTTCAAATGACCCCTAGCCTCTTGAATGCGCTAAAGATCTTTTGCAATACATTTTGGAAATGCGACACATCATTTGATGTCTTGACTGTTGGCTCTGTAAGCATTGATTCTAGATCCAAATCCAATGAAAGCCCCGACACTGTCGGTATCTCCTCCATTCTTAGAATGTTGCTTATTGTCCAGTTATGAGGGGTTTTGCCTTCTTTAGGTTGAAGGCTAGTCTTTGATTTTCATCAGTAAGCACTTCAAGTCCTCTTCACTTTCAGCAAACAACATCGTCTCATCCACATATTGCAGGCTGTCAATCTGTCTTCCTCTAACACGGATTCCACCTTCTTCTTCACTTGGTTCAGCTTTGTGGATTTGCCCAGCACACAGACTGAATGGATGTGGCGGAAGGACACAACTCTGATGCGTGTTCTGCCTGATTTTAACCATGCAGTATCCTCTTGTTCTTTTCAAATGACTGCTTCCTGGGACGAAGTCTGCATGAGCACAATTCTCACTCTGCACAATGTTATTTATAGTTTGTTATGATGCACACTGTATTAGAGCTTAAATTTGCAATACCCTGTTTGCAGATGGCAATGGATGATGGTAAAACGCCCAAATCCAATGTACTGCGGCCCCATGTGGATTGTCAGCTCCCCTTGAATTGTTTCTATTAACCAGGGAGAGGCGCCCTAGTGGTACAGTGGTTACACACTGGGTTGCTAAGTGCAAGGTCAGCAGTTTGAAGTCACCAGCCACTCTACAGGAGAGAGGGGACTTTCTACTTCCCTGAACAGTTACTGTCTAAGAAATCCACAGGGGACATTCTATCCTGTCCTATGTGGTTGCCATGAGTTAGCATCGACTCGATGGCAGTGAGCTTGGTTTGGTTTTATTAACCAAGGATGTGAGTTATCTTGCCTTTGGGTGGAGAAGGCATTAGGACATAAATCACCTCTACTCTCTCCAGTCAGTCCACGGAGGGGCAGGACTCCCTTAGGCACTTGCCCGGGTGTGATCTTTTTTTGAAAAACATGTAGTGAAAAGTTTATATTAAGCATTAGCCAGCTGGACTCAGTGTAGATGATTCTGAATCTGTTAGCAACAGCTAAAGCGTCGTAGTTGGGAGCCAGTGGAACCTATGCCTTCTTCTCACCTTCAGGCCTGATCCAGACGCTGACTTTGGTCACGGCAGTGTCCTAGAGCTCCTTCATAGCCTGTTTGAGCTGGGGCTTGTTGGCCTTGATGTCCACAATGGACACAGTGTGTTGTTGTCTTTGATCTTCTTCATGGTGGACCCCATGGTCAGGGGGAACGTGATGATGGCATAGTGGCCAAGCGTACTTCTCCTGGGGGCGTTCTTCCAAGGCTGCCTTCTTAGCCTGAGGTCATGTGCTGCCAGACGTGAGTGACATGTGGATCTTCTTTTTGTGTGTGGCTGTGGACGCCTTTCTCCATGGCATGCTCGGCCTTTAATGCCTTTGCTTTGGCTTCCGTTTTAGATGAGGCAGGGGCTTCCTTCTTTGCCTTCAGTGCCATCTTGGTAAAAAGGCTGAGAGTGTTCTTGCTGGAGACCACCGTACTGGAGGGACACATAGTCAGGAGTCATACACGAGTCCTGCCCTGACTGCCTGGTTAGAAGGCCCTGGACTAAACTTGTAAGCTCCTCGGTCTAATATAATACACATGTTCTAATTATGGTCCCACCTGTAACTGTGATGTATTGATCCAGCACCAATCATGATTTTGTGACAGTTTCCTTTATCCTCCATGTCCTATTTAAGTGGCTTTCTGGCTATGAATCCTTGGATGCCATTATGACCTTGTGCTAATAATCTCCTTCACCTGGTTGATGTGTCCTTGTCCTTGAAGTCTCTTTTATACACGAATACAACACATAGTCAACAAAGCACACATAAGCGCCTTTCTGATATTCTTTGCTTTCAGCCAAGATCCGTCAGACACCAGCCATGATATCCCTTGTTCCATATCCTATTCTGCATCTGGATTGAATTTCTGGAAGCTCCCTACTGATTTTCTGCTGCAACCATTTTTGAATTATCTTCAGCAGACTTTTACTTGCATGTGATGTTAATGAGATTGTTTTCTGGTTTTGCATTCTGTTCTATCGCCTCTCTTTGGAATGGGCACAAAGACGCATCTCTTCCAGTTGTTTGGCCAGGTAGCTGTCTTCCAAATTTCTTGGCATAGACTAGTGAATGCTTCCAGCACTATATCTGTATTAGTCTAGGTACTTTGGAGAAACAAACCCACAGCAACTCATGTATAAGAGAGAGTTTTATGCAAAGAAAATGTGCATCATGAAAACATCCCAACCCAATGCTGCCCAAGCCCACAAGTCCAACATTAACCCATTAACCCAACACCAGTCCACAAAGTCCTCTGCCTCACAAAACAGAGGCAATGATGCCAACTGCAGGAGGAAAGCTGAGTCAGTGAACGAACAAGCATCTCAGCACTGGCAGGGGTCTCCACACGGCTGCTCCAGCACCCAGGGCTGCATCGGGATAGATCCATGCGGCTTCTCCTTGGGGATGTCTTGTGGGAAGTCAATCTTGCAAGCTGAAGCAGGGAACTGCTAAGGCAGCTGCACCCGGTACAACCATCACAAAACCAGAGACCCGAGAACAAGAAAGGCGAGGCTTCACCACCCATTTATCCCTCCGCCTTTCAACCAGCCCCACATGTGACTTTTGGCCAGGCTGGCACAATTAACTAACTCAATATCCATTCGTTGAAACATTTCACTTGGTAGCCCATCAGTTCCCGAAGCCCTGCTATTTGCTAACATCTTCAGTGCTGCTTGCACTTCTTCCTTCAGTACTGGTTCTTGATTTACATGCTGCCTCCTGAAAGAGTCAAACATCATCCAATTTTTTTTTGGTACAGTGACTCTGTTTATTCCTTCCATCTTCTTTGAGGTTTATTGCATCTCTCTCTCTCTCTCTTTCTTGCTCATATTTCTACTAATCACAGCCATTAAATTGATTCCCATCACAGTGACCTCATAGGACCGGGTAGAACTGCCCTTGTGGGTTTCCGAGACTGTCACTCTTTATTGTAGTAATTAAAAAGCTTCATCTTTCTCTCTTGGAATGGCTGGCAGTTCCAAACTGCGGCTTTTCATTTAGCAGTGCCATGCTTAATTCACTGTGCCACCAGGGATCCTTTGCTCATATCACCCTTCAATATTTTGACTCAAGACTTGAAATTTTTCTTCAGTTCCTTCAGCTGAATGTGTTCTTCCCTTTCAAGTTTCAAACTCCAAGTCTTTGCCGATTTCATTATAATACTTTACTTTGTGTTTTGAGAAAGTCTTTGAAATCTTTTCAACTTTTTTTTTGGTAAGAAGTCTCCTTTATTAAAGTAAAAATGTTCTTACATTCTTGAATAAGCTAAGCAAATCCAGGTACTGATCTTTTAATTTCACAAAACAAAGTATGAAGAGGGATAAGAAAGCCAAAATAACGGCCATCTTTTTCACATTTACCTTGATTTATCTCAGCATTTTGAATGCCGAGTTTTTCACAGGTCTAACAAACTACCCATCTAAGTGCTCTTCTATTTTGTCCCAGATCAGAGTAGAAGTGGCTTCACAATTGGTTAACAAAATAGCAAAGCTCTTATCCTTAAACAAATTAAACAGCAGTAAACGTGTGAAAAAGACCACACATACACTTAGTTTCTAAAGCTACTTAAGCACTATATGAAAAGTAACCTTTGAATAATGACCCCACAAAAGACTAAATCTTCAAGCTACTCATATACAATGGGAAAATATAGGTAAGTCCATTGTTCTCATTCCAGCTCCACCCTGCACTACTTAGAAAGGTTTTCAAAAATAAAGTGAAGATTCTGCCTTAGACCTTACAGGGGTTGGAAGCAGCTGCTGGAAGTGGCACCGGAACTCGCCAGGGACATGGTGGTGGCAAGAGTGTCAATGCTGGCTGCAGCTAGACCTTGGGCTCCTTGCTCCTCTTTCAGAGCCAGTACATACAGACTTGGGAAAGAACCTGGCTACTTCCATAAGCTTTTGACGGAAACTGGAGGAGCTTCATCTTGCTGATTTCAGCACAGGCTCTTGGACCCCACACAAACTTGTAACGTGGGGGCAGCTGCCGATACTCCACATATTTTTCCTGAACCAACTCTCCGGTGAGGAAATCCTCTGGTTTCCCACAGATGAAGTGCTTCTGCCCAGCATAGATGCCCATCGTATTCAGCACCTCCCAGACTTCTTCTTCAGTGGCACGGTTGCCGTTGATGAAGATCGCACCCAAGAGCATAATCAGGATGCCAGTCTTTGGCGTGCCTTCTGGTTCACTCAGCATGGCATCACTGGTGAGGCCCAGTGTCATGCAGACCATGTAACAGTGGTTGATGGCGTCTACTTCCTTCACTTCAAGGCCAAATACCATCTCCAAGCATTCATTGGCTTTCTGCAGGATCTCAGGGAAGTGATCTTTGATGACAGTATTCAGCATGTCTTCCAGGGTGAGTGGCTCTTTAATTCGAGACTTGAACAGCAGATAATTCACCAATGAAGATGCTTTCTCATTTATAGGCATTACAGACAAGTTTTCAATATCTAGCCGGGACAGGCTGTCATTGTCTTCATCAGAGCTGTCCCCTCCGGTGTCTCCAGTTGAAGAGGAAACCTCCTGCTCACTCTGAAGACTCTGGGAAGTCCTGGGCATCTCTACGTCAGAAGTCTCCTCCGCGGCCTCGTCTCCATTGCTGGGAGTTGGAGAAGAGGAGGAAGAAGAGCCTTCCTCTGAAAGTTCAGGTGATAGTAGATCCTTCATGTCCTGCACTTCCGTGGACACAGGGAGGGGTTGCTGAGGACAGAAGCGAGGGCTCTGTTTTTCAACCTTTTCAACTCTTTTACTTCCATATCTTCTTTCCTTCTCCCTACCCACTGACAGCCCTCAAGTTGATTCCTACTCACAGAGACCCTCTGGGTTTCCCAGACGTCAATCTTTACAGGAGTAGACAGCCTCCCTTTTCTCCCACAGAGCAGTTGGTTGGCTTGAACTTGCGGTCAAGAGTCCCCTGTTTACCTGACAGTGCCACCAGAGCCCCTTTTCTCTCACTCTTGCTGCTTTATAGTTAAGAGCAAATTTCAGAGTCTCTTTCGTCATCCGTTTTGATCTCTTTTTTCTTTCTTGTCTTTCTGATGACCTTTTGCTTTCTTCATGTATGCTGCTCTTGACAACTCATCTGACTTCCAGTCGTTAGTGTTCAATGCGTCAAATCTGTTCTTGAGATGGTTTCTAAATGCAGGTTGGACTTTGGCTCTGGTGGACTAATTTTAATTTTATTCAGCTTCAACTTGAATTGACATAGGAGAAATCGATGGTCTGTTCCATAATTGGCCCCTGCTCTTTTTTTTAAATTGCTTTATTAGGGGCTCATATGACTCTTATCACAATCCACACATACATCAATTGTGTAAAGCACATTTGTACATTCATTGCCCTCGTCATTCTCAAAATATTTGCTCTCCACTTAAGCCCCCGGCATCAGGTCCTCATTTTTTTCCCCTCCCTCCCCGCTCC